ACTTTGAATACACAGATACAAAATGGACATTCATCTGTATACCCTTTTTTGGTTAAGTTCCATTATTTGAATATTATAGGTGTGTTAACTCAGCAAAATAATCTAAAAGAGTCCAGTAGTCCATAATAGTATTGGGTCTTCTGCTTGACTGGCAATGTCAGAAATTGTTGACCTGAGTCCCCTACAGCTCAACATAACAGCACGGCTTTACTTCTTATATTTCGTTTTTATACTTTTCTGGTGGATGGTTGAGACCAAGGTAAAGCAGGACCTGTGCAACAAGAGTTGTAGCTTTTGTGACCCACTTTTATTTAAACAAGCTGATATTCTTACCCAGTGATTAAGAAGCTGCACGTTATACTGTGTCACATGCTTGTCATGGTATTGAGCTATACAGTGTGACTTAGACTGTTCTGTGGTGTTATAATGAAATAGCAAAGATGGCTGCAGTAGAGACAGTGCACATCTGGTACACAGTTCTGGAAGCCAAGAAGTCCAATATGAAGAGGCCCTGTGTGAGGGCATTTGGGCTGCATCAGACATGGCAGGTGACACTGCCTATCAAGAGAGTGCAGGACAGAGAGCAAGAGAGACCAGGGCTCTCTTTAATAAGGAACCCACTCATGTGCAATGAAATTACTCCCCACCTTTCATGTGGTATCTTAGTTACTTCTCTTGTCACTGACACACAGTACCTGATACCTATAACTCCTAAAGGAGAAGGGTTTATTTTTGGCTCACAATTTGTAGAGGCTTCAGGCCATGGTTGACTGACTCTAAGGCAGGGCAGCATAACAGAGGAAAAAGAGCTCACAGCATGAGAGTGGAGAGTGGAGAGAAATTAAGGGAGGAGAAAGGAAGATAGCTGCTTTCAGACCATGCCCACCAGTGCCCCACCTCCTCTGACCAATTTTACCTCCAAATGTTACACTTAGCTGTAAACTCATCGATGGACTAATCCACTGATAAGTTTCACACTCCCATGATCCTGTCACCTGTCAAAAGCATCACCTATGGGTGCATGAGGCTTTGAGGGGACATCTAAATATAAATCATAACATAAGGTCAGAGCCCTTATGACCAAATCACCTCTTAAAGGTCTCACTTCTCCACTGGCATTCGGGATTAAGTTTCTCACACTGGATCTTGGGCAGACACTTCAAACCATAGCACTGTGCAAAGCTGTACCTCTTTGTTAGCCTTAAATTTCATCTGATTTGAGGTGGCCAGTAGAAGTGTCATGTAGAAAATTGGCTAGTGAGTCCAAACTAGAGATTTTACATTCCTTCTTCGCTAGAAAAAGCCAATAGCTAGACCAGAAGCACTCTGTAGTGCTAGTCCTCTTCCTCACCCAGAGATTTTTTAGTTTGAAACCTTAGAAAAGCATCAGTCTCTAATGTCCAGGTCCCAAATCTAGCACCTGGCATAGCTAACGTTTATTAAATAGTACATATAAGCACAATCTTAAATAGGGCACAGGTAAAATTCTTTTTTTTATATATATATGATCCTGTGAGATGTTGTCCTACATTTCACAGACAACAGAACAGGAGCACAGAGGGATTATGTTGCCCCAAGGTTACAGAGGACCAACATTTGGCCCCTAGGAATCTTGGGCCATGTGAGTATCCTTTGCACTCCTCAGCCTGTAAAGGTTTATTTGGGCAAGAGTCACAAGTGATCTTATCAAACGATGAGGCATTTCCACAGGAATTGAATTTGAACCTTGTGACACAGAATAGATAACTTTGTTCCTGGAATTACATTTTCCATGATCCGGGGATGAACCTTATGTCATACCTTGTAGAGATCTCTCCATTTAGTGAGGATTTATCATTTTTTGAAATTTTTGTCGACTTAGAGAGTATCATTGCATTCTATGGTAGGAATAACTAAGGGTGATCAAATCTTTCTCACGCTTTAAAAAAAATACTGGAAATAAACTTTCCAGTATTACTTTATTGTTTATATTTCTGTGATTCCAAGGAATCCAAGTTTGATCAGAGAGTCAGAATCACAGGGTCAAAGAGTTATTTTTAAAATTAGATAAAACTTTGGAAACTCCATTCTCAGTTTTCCATTCATTGCTCTTAGCCTGAACTGTGAATCAGGATTATATCTAGAGCTTTATGAAATATTCTACCCTAATTGGCATCATATCTACTTGGGAATATTCTACCTGGCATGTTTTTAAAGCTACACAGATAATTTTGCTGTGCATGGGCTTTCAGCTGCAAACCCCTTTCCCACACTGAACCCACTATTATGTCAAAGTAAGAAACCTCAGCCATGCTGCCTAAACTGGAGCTGGAAGCCAGGAAGTAGTGCAGAGCAGTCCTCTCAGCCCCCTAGAAAATGCTGTGGAGCCAAGAAAGTGGGCTGTGGGGTGTATGTGTCTGGCCTATTGCCTGATTGTACACAGGGGCAGTCGGGGGCTTGACGGTGTTGCACTAAGCTGATGTCCTGTGGCTATTTTTGTGACACCCATCCCCTACCTTTCAGGGTGTTGATATGTCTTCACTCTAAGGTTGAATTTGTCAAAACCATTTTTATAAATTAGATGGAGTTTTATACATTTAATCTTTTTTTTAAATTTTATTTATTTGTGTGTGTGTGTGTGTGTGTGTGTGTGTGTGGCCAGCTCAGCCCACCTGGGGGCGGGGCTGGCTGGCATGTGGTGCTGGGGGATTGAACCGCAGTCCCTATGCTTTGCTAAGCTTGTTCTAAGTAGGTGGTTTAGACCACTGAGCCATCTCACCAGCCCTTTTTTTTTTAATTTTATTTATATACATTTACTCTTAAGAACCTAAATAATACTCATCTTTTAGTGATCATTTTCATTCTAATACTTGGTTTGTGTTACAGACTAAATTCACCCAAAGATCAAGACATGGATATAGCAATGATTCAGCAGCTGAGAGAAGCAGTAGATTTACTGCAAGATCCCAACGGGTATGCAAGGCTCTCCTCGGCCTGGCTTTTCTGTGGGAATAATGCCTACTGATTTACTGAACGCATTATCTAAATCTCTGCTATATTTTTACACACAATTTGATATCAGTCTAACCTCTAACAAAGTGAAGTCATTTTAATTGCCTATATTCCAAGGTCCAAAAGGGAAGGAGGCCAATTTCTGCAGAAATTGAGATCAATTCCCCTTTCTCTACCTTGTAATAACATTCATTCACTTCTTATGAAAATCTTACAGGATTTTTTATGTAATTCTTAGAAAACAGAAATATGATAAAAATGCATAAAGTTTAAACTGCTGTTTTATAAAGATATAAGACAATTTTTCTAAATAGAAATTAAATACTACCATATTTATCTGGTAGTGCCAATTTGCTAACTAAATAATACATTTCTGAAGATTTGTGTTGTAAGTTACACTTTAAATTGGCCATTGTCACTAATATGCACTTGATATAGTTGATAATTTTTTTGGTTTCTTAGCAAAAGATGATGGAATTCCCATGGATAAAATGTTTTTCAGTAAGATGATATTAAATATCAGGTAATAACTACATGATCCCTAGAAAAAATACACTCAAGGCTTATCCTTGGTTAAGTATCCAGGTGTCCTGCAATTTAAATCTGAAGATGATATGGTCTAATAGTAAGAAGAACGTGAGAGTCACACCGCAGCACTCTCAGCTGGGTTCTGGGGATTTAGGGAAAGGGTGATTAGTGAGCTCAGACTTCCAGTAAGAACACTCCACCGATGCAGCCTGGCCCTGAAGGAGTAGTTGCCAGCCTTGGTAAGTGTGGCTGGGAATGTTCAGCAGTTGTTATAGAAAGCATTTTAGTTTTGCAGACACTAATTGAGTGCTTAGAACAGGGAAGAACTACATTGTGCACCTTGGGGGAATATAAAGACGAACAACACAGTTCCTGCCTCCTGAGAACATGTATTGCTCATAGCTAGAACAACTAGAGATAGCCTTGTGCAGTTATTTCTAAGTGCAACAGCCTGAGTTACAGATTTTTAAAAATGATAGACAGTGCTTAACCCCAGGAAAAGTGAAATAACTGGATGGATCTTCTGGAAGGCTGGCATCTTTAACTGATGTCTTTAATGACTGGCTGTTTGATGGAGAACATACCTCTGGGTTGAATGAGAAGCATTTGCAAATGCATAGAGGCCAGAGAGAATGGAACTGGTTTGGATAAGTTCTGACAAAAGGGAAGTTCTCCACCCAGGCTTGCCTCAGTATGATTTATGGAACTTTTTCAACATAGATACAAGGCATGGAACTCAGGGTTGCTCATACTTTTGCTGTGAAGTCAAGATTGAGAATCACCAGAGAGGCAATGTGGAGTAGGACAGGGTATCCCAGTCAGCTTTCTGCTGTGGCAGCAAATACTGGAGATCAGTCTATTTAGACAAGATTTATTTCAGTTCACAGTTTTGGGGGTTTCAGTCTATGACTGGTTGGGCCTGTTGCTTTGGGCCTGTGGAGGCACAGCACATTAGGGTGGGAGCCTGTGGGTGAGCAAACCCATTCACCATATAGCTGGATGCAAAGAGTGAGAAATAGGAAGGCCCAGGATCCCAGTGTTCCCTCCAAGGGCTGCGATGTGACCAGATCTCCTCCCAGGGCTCACTTGAATATCCATCACCTTCCAGGGGTACTAAGCCTGGGGTCAGTGGCTTCACACGTGCTCCTTTGGTGTATGCTTAGCTCAGCCATAGCATGGGGAATGGCCTCAGATGCTGTGTTGAGGAGCTGAGACTTTATTTTATGTGCATAAGGAGGCAGTGATGGTTTGGGAACATGATTATTCATGTTAATAAGTCTCCTTAACATCTGGCTTAAACCCTGGCTTAATATGCATTGAATTAGGTGTGTTCAAAGACCTGAATTCCACATACTTACTGAAGGTAGTCAACAACAAAGCAGAAAGCAGGACAAGAGAGACTGTATGTATCTAGGTACAAATGTTTGCAGTTATAATGAGTTCAGGAAATGGCATGGCTCGTAGGAAGAAGTGGCTTCAAACCTAGCTTCAACATCAGTTAATTTAGGTAGGTTGTATGATTTTAAGTTATAGTTCTCTCCCTAAAGTAATCCACTACTTTGGCTCCATTATATATATATATATGTGTGTGTGTGTGTGTGTTGTTTATCTTGTCATACTATAATATGCAACTCTAATTGTCTAATACTATTTCTCTGAGCCAATGTTACAGTGGGCGGTATGTTAATAGCCTATTAAAATGTTAGTTGCTTATTGAAATCCTGTCCTTGCTGGAGTTATAGCTCAATGACACAATGCTGCCTGGGAAGTGTGAGGCCCTGAGTTTGATTTCCTGAACCAAAGAATAAAGTAAAAGTAAAAGTAAAAACAAAAAAGAAATGAAATGAAGTAGAGTACTTGCCTTTTAACATGGCTTATAACTTATATTACATAAAAATGTTCTGGAGGGGGAAAATGTGAACCTCTTAAAATTACAGAAGTTCAGTAACTATATGGAAGCCAATATGAAATTAAAAATACATATCAAAATGCTCATGAATTTTTTGCTTGTTTTGGTGCTGCGGATTAAACCCAGGCTATTGTGCATGCTGGGCAAGCGTTCTGCCACTGACCTATGTGCTTAATCTTGAATTCTTATTTTTGAAGTGATAGTATTAGTCTATGACAGAAAGATTGTTATAACCAAATGTCTTTTTGCATGCACTGTAATGTAATACTTTCAGCAACTTGCCTCTCTGCAGTTTTAGGATAAAATTTAGTATATGCTACCTCTAAAAATTATGATTTTATAAGAAATTACTATTTCATTGTAAACAAGTTGGATTTCATTACCAATAGCAAATAGAAAATTCACATTTAGGCATATGGTAGAAAAATACCACACAACTTAAAATTTCTTCCATAAACCGTTCATCATTTAATGCTAAAGGTAAATGTCACTTTTTAGTATATTAAACTTTTAAACTAAGTATGACCAATTACATTTATGAAAAATAAAAGTTGAATCAACTCACTATTTTAGATTGCCATTTTTTCCTACTCTTTAGATTAAACGCAGATATGACAGAAAGAAGCATTTTAAATCTGTATCCTATGGGAACCGCTGAAGACTTAGCATTACCAGATTCTGCACTAAAGTATGTTTGCCCTTTTATAACTAAATGCTTTTTTTTTTTTTTTTACATTGAAGTAGTAATGTTTTAAATTCCACTTTATGTCTTCTTTTTTCTGTCCTTCTTCTGTAGTGGTCAAATAGAGCTGGAGACATCTCCAATGTGTGAGGTAAGACCAGAATTTTGTAGAAAGCCACCTTATTTGTAAAGACTTACAGGGGGAAAGCATAGTTAAGAGGGAGGCCATTCTCCGTATTTGCTCAGGACACGTTTTTCAACTGTTGGATGTTTTTACCCTTTACTTCAGCTTATCTGTTACACCTCACCTTCCATTGAAGGTGGAAGTTATTTATTGCTCTTAGATTATCTAAAGTTTTTACAGAGAGATAGTCTCGCTGAGTCAGGCAGTGGCCCCTAAGATACATAGGGAACCTGCTGTGTCAGAGGTTGGGGTAGGGTCATTCACAGCAGATTCTAGAACTGAGAACAAAGTCAACCTGGGGAAAATAAACCGGAACAATTTTTCATGCCTGTATATTGTAATATGAGCTACTACTTTGAGATAACAATACACAATGTACTAACCATTGTTGGTCTTCTACAATCTTGTTTTGAAATTTTATATCATTGTTTTAATTGTTTATTTTTCTTTAAAATAAAAAAAGCCTTACAAATAAAGGAAAAGAAACTGGAAAAGAGCTAAAAAATAACAAATGAATTGGAGATATCTAGGATCAAAAGAATACCATGAAGAGATACTGATGGGATTATTTAGGGACAGAAAAAGGGAAAGCTAAGTAGACCTACATTGGGCTTAGAATTTGAGTAGCTGTAGGCAAAGCAGTTTTGATATTAAAGTAGACATTAACCTAAAAGGTCCCCAACAAAAAGTGTTACTCCATTGATGGAGTGTGGTAAGTTAGAGCTGGTAATCCTGGAGTTAGGGCCTCTTGCAACCTGTCACATCCCTGTCACATCCCCAATAGTGAATGCTATTAGGACGGCTGAGACAAACTGACTTTTTCACAGGGTGTGTGGTTGCATGGTTAAACTGAGGGACTTGCAGTAGTGTTGGGGACCAACCCCCCTCCCAAAGACTTGCTGACTCTGGGCCAGTTCATTAACCTCTCTAAACTTAGCCTTTGTTTTGAGGAAATTGAGATCATAATAATAGCTATTGTGAAACTCAAATGAGATTATTGGAGAATGCCTCCCAGCCCAGGGCACATGTGGCCAGCTCTTATTCTGCTTCTCTGTTACTGTGTTTGGTGCGGCTTTCGCATGCAGTCACAGCGCCATCTCTGCCTCAAGTGGGGATGTCACTGAACTGCCTGCTAGCAGGGTGTACAGGATGCTTTTTTATTAGTTGGCCTCTCGGGACTGCTTCCTCAGGCTCTCCATTTAGATTGGTTTTTGATCTCTGAAAGCTGGTTTTCAACTCCGTATTTTTAAATAATTTTAAACATGTAAAACACTGCGAAAAATGAAGTATGAATTTCTATAAGAGGACACAGAATGTCACAGTCTCATAGTCAGATTTACTAGTTACTGATTGACCATCCCTAATCTGAAAAATTCAAAATTAAAACATACTCTAAAACTCTAAGCACCAACATAATGCCACAAATGTGACAAAAATGGCTAAAATTACCTTCAGGGCATGCACATGAGGGATATAGGAAATGTATTTCGTGTATAGATAAGGATCCTATCCCCAAAGCTAGCTTATTATGTGCCGTGCTCTGCAGTCTGAAATCCAAAGCACTTCTGGTCCCAAACTCTTTAGATAACACATACGGAAGCTATGTTAGCATTCCGCCACGTTCACTGTTTTGTTTTTTACTCTCTCCCTCTCTTCACATACATTAATTCGAAATATTTAAGGATAAGTTTTATTCATCACAGTTTTTTTTATCCTAAAACACTACAGTATATGTTTTCTAAGAATGGGGATTATTAAGTCTTACATAACCACATTTCAGTTATGAAATTCATAACCTTACACTGAGAACAAATACACTTTCATCTAATCTACCACCCATGCTCCAGATTGATCAGTTAATCTAAGATGCTCTTCAAAGGAGTCCTTTCCTGCCAGTGCAGATGTTGCCTTCAATTGTCAGGTATTTATAGCCTCCTTTCTGCTGGAACATTACATGACCTTTCTTTGATTTATGGCCTTGAAGTTGCAGGCTGGCCTGGATCACTATGTAGCCCATGCTGGCCTTGAAGTTTTGCAGAATACAAGCCTTCCTTTTTTTAACGAAGTGACCTTCCCTTGGTGTTTGATATTTGCTCATGATTAGATTTGAGTTGTTCTGCTTTCTTATTTGGGGTCCCGCCCAGGTGACATTGTGTATGGTCAGGATGTCACACTTGGGGGCGTGGCATGTGTCCATCTGTCTCTCGCTGGTCTCTTAATTTAATCACCCACTTGAAGTGTAACCCCACTTACTTACTGTATAATCACCATTTTATTTTTCCTGTGCCACTAAGCCTGTGAAGAGATGCCTGAAGATCATCCTGGTGGCTTGCCATGGTGACCTGCTCCTATAGTCTCAGGCTTCTGGGAGGCCGAGACAGGAGAACTGAGATACTGACTTAGTGAGGCCTTGTCTCAAAATAAAAGACAAAACAAAGCAAAACAAAATTCTGGGGATATAGTTCAATGTGAAATTCCTGAGTCCAGCCCCGAGTCCAGCGTAGACTTGCTCCAAGCAAGTCAGTTGTGCTCTTTCTTCCCCAGAGTGAACTCCCTGCCTGCTTTGTTCAGGGCAATTGAATTAGTGTTTAAACATAGGACGTGCCTGGTATAATCTACCTTGGTGCTTTTATTAAAGTATGCTGCTTAAAATGTCCTTGTACTTACACATGTACAGGTCTTTTTTTAAGAAATATACCTAGATTTTGGGATTGTAAGAGTTAGCAGAAAGATACAAAGTCTCTAGGAAAAATACTACTGTTCTTCCTCCATTCGACTCATCATGTTTTATGTTATTTTAATATAAGGATGTATTTCTTTGGTTAAATAGTCATATTTGATGTAAGGAATTCTTCCTTCTTGGGGCAGCTCTCTCTTTGATAGACATGAGTCCATGATTTTAAAAAGAAAGGAAAAGAAATTCATAAGAACCAAGGAGGCAGGGCATTCCCAAAGCCAGTGACTATGATGGCGCAGGTCCTCTTCTGTGTGTGGCTCCTTTTCTGATCTCCCACTTTGTTCAGGAAGAAAGCAGCACCCTTCAGCCTAGGTGTCCCTGGTTTGCCACTTGCTGAGCACACGTGCTATGGAGGCCTGGAGTGTGAACAGTGTGAAGTGGCCCTCATTTTAAGCAAGGCTTGAAAGTTGCCCAGGACAGATATTGAAAACACACAGGGCAGAATAAGAAATGGATGGCCTGCAGTCCTGAGTATGTTCTCTGTGCTCAGGCAGACGGAAAGGGGTAGAGAGAGGAGTGGGCTCAGACTGTGTGACTGTGGCCAGGAGACAGCTGCGCAAGGCAGCAGTGGTGGGCTCAGGCCCTGTGGGAGCCGGGAAGCCCAGTGACTGAGGCCAAGCTGTGGCTCAGTCTGCACTTGGGAGCTGTCACCATCTCTGACCTCAAACACGCTTTATTTTATTCTCTGTTTTCATTTTATCAGTCAGGTTTGCAGTACATAATAATTGCATTTGTCAGGGGACTTGATACATGTACATAACACAGCTTAATTCTTATTTGTCCCCTGCCCTTCCTCTCCCACTGTGTTCCTTCCAACTCATGGTCCCCTGCTCATTTGTAAAACTCTATTTTCATATTTTTCTTTCAATTCCTTTTTCCATCCCTTTTCTCTCCCATTTGTTTATCTCCTGGTATCTTATTCCAATTCCCATTTGAATAGATCACCTACTTTCTATTACATATTTTCTTTTTCTCTATATTTTGGGTTCCTCATATAAAAGAAACTGCAATATTTAAGCTTGTGTGTTTGATTTATTTCACTTAATATTATAGTCTCAAGGTGCACCCATTTACTTCTGAATGCTTCAAGTTTAGCCTTCTTTGTGGCAGCATAAAAGGTTTAATTGTTGTGCAGAAATACCACATTCATGTTGGTGGGCCTGTAGACCATTTCCAAGATTTAGGTATTGTAAATTGTGCTAACTGCTATAGACATAGGTATGCATGTATCATAATAATATGATTATTTATATTAATCTTTCTGAAAGAAAGATACTGAGTAGGTGAATAGGTTGAATGGGATTTCTGGTTTTTAGTTTTTTGTCATATCTCCACACTGATTTCCATAGTGGTGATACTAGCTTCCATTTCCACCAACAATGGAGAAGAGTTCTTCCCTATTGCCTCATCAGCATTTATTTTTTAATTTCTTGATGGAAGCCATTCATGGTGGAGTAAGATTTGTCAGTGTTGCTGTAATTTGCATTTTTCCAATGGCAGGTAATTTTGATTAAATATACTTTAGAAGACTGCCCTCATTAAGTCTGAGTAGTACATTATATGTTATAATGCATTATATATTACATATAATATATTAATATACAAATAGTGTGATTACATTATACATTATATATTATATAATAATTATACTGCATTATATATTACATTATGATATATAATATGCAAATGAATATTTACATATGGCATAATACATTATGTATTATATAATATGTATAAATATAATAGTATGTAATATATAATAATATAACAGTGGTTGTATATTATGTCAAGTAGGACAATGTATTGAGAAAGCAATAGGAAAAATTCAAGTAAGGAGCTTCTTACAGAAAGTATCAAACTCACAGTTATTTGTTAACAGTTTTTAACAAAGCTAACAAGAGATATTAATGACATTTTATTCTAAAAATGTTTGAACCTTGGATTTGTGTTAAAATTGAGAACACTTAATTCGTATTCCTCAGGAATGAGTGACTTGGCTTAATTTGATGTGAATTGGTGGCATATGTGAATATGATTGTATTAGTTATCACCAAATTTTTTTTGGAAGGTAGATCAGTAGGGTCTTGGTCACCACATAAAGAAGACAGACCTGGAAGACGGCACTAGCATGCATCCCTCTGGGGCTTCTTGTCTCTCAGTGCTCCTCTCTTACCGTTTTAGTTTGTCCCTCAGCCATCATTTTTCCCCTTCCATCCAGTCTCTAATCTGGCCACCTTTATGGGCTTATGTATGCCCTAAATAATGACTTCCAAATGCTAGATCTGTAGTATATGTCCCAGTCCCGCTCCTTTCCCTAGCGTTCAGATTGCATCTCCTGCTTCTGTAAATTTGCATTGTCTGTGTGGCTTAACTGAAACTAATGACTTCCTTTTGAATCGCAGTACCCGCCCCACCCCCAGTTATTTCAGGTGAAAACCATGACCAGCACACGTCACCATGATTTTCTTTTAACCAGTAGTGCCAAAGCACACTGATATTGAGCTGATCTCATGAGATTTTCCCAGGCAATCTGGGGTCTAAGAATGTGCACTTATTAAAAGCTCTCAATGTGATTCTGTATGTTTTGGAACTGCTACCCTGGACCATTTCTAAAAGCCATAATTAATATGAGGCTGGGAGCCAGGCTATAGCTTGGTAACCCTGCAAGGTAGGCTATGGTTTATGGACTTGGGGAAGTGAACTCTGCTGGAAAAAGTCCTTACCTTAATTTGTATGATACTTCAGGTTTGATTTTTTTTTATAAATGCAGTTGCATACCTTAAAAATGATATTGTGAACTACTTAGCTGTTTAACACTCTAATTAGTTCAGCATATATTCATTGTTTTTGACTGGGCCAGGGATGTGATGGAGAAAAAAAACACATTTGTTGCCTCCTCAGTTTCACAGTGTAATGGAACATACCATCCTTTTTTTTTCTCTCTCTCTTTTCTTAAAGGTGCAAAATGACTTAACATTGCAGAGTAATGGAAGCCAGTATTCTCCAGATGAGGTAAGTTTCCTGAAGATTAATGGAAGCTGAGATATTCCATGAAGGCTGTATTAAAATATCTTTTACACAAGTATATAAACTAAGACTGTGACTAATGGGTTAATTAAAGATACTCAGGGGGATGCTCATTGCTCCCCTCTTCCTCTCACTGGCTAGCGTAGCCTTATCTGGCCCTCTGAATAATGGGTTTACTTTTTATAAGAAACATTTTTGAAAACCTAATGCAAGAACATCTGAAGAAAACAGAATAGAAATGACTGGAATCAGCTACCTTTAGAAAGTCTTCGGCATGTGCTTTCTGTGTAGGTGAGACTTCTGTCAGTGCTGCTCGTGTTGGGTTCGTGAGTCTTTGGTACACACACGTGGGCTCCTGCGTACCACTCACCTAGCTGGGGGAAAAGCAGACTGCCACTTTCACAAGACTGCAAGACATATTTGTAATGAGCAAATAAAAAAACCGCATGGGTCACCCCAAAACAACATTCTGTTGGTTATATATACTCCTGAAAACATTTGCGCAGTGATTTTTCTAAAGCCAGGATTGCATCCCACAATAGCAAATGCAAAGAAGGAGTGCTGCTCTAGTGATCGCCAACCATAGAGAAGGATACACAGTTCGGCTTCGTATTGCCCCTAATATCCTTTTCTTCCAACCTCACAGATGAGAGCGAGCTCTCCCACAGTCTCTCCCACTGTCAACAGCACAGCTCCTTTTGGCCTGAAGCCTCGATCAGGTAAATTAAACCCCAGTCCCTTATGTCATTCCTCTACTAAATAGCTTGGTGGTTTCTTTTTAGCATTTAAATTGAGCCATGAACATCGTCAGTTCTGGTAAGCTCGATCCCTGGCATCAGAGCTATATGACAGCTTGGCAAGTCAGAGTCTGAAGCTATGATTTCAGTGAGTCAGTTGTTAGGTCCTGCTGTCAGGAATAGACAGCTTTCCTTCTTTTGAACCAGCAAAGGAGAAACCATGGTGGGAGCATGCAAGTGCAAATGTAATAGCCTGTTGAACTTTCTTACCCAAGGAAAATAAAATAGCTCTCTGTTGCCCCACTGGTTGAGGGCTGTGCTGAGCTGAAGGGCAGCAGAGTTCCTTCTCAGACATCTCAGGTTGCTTTCTCATCCTAGCAGGGCCTATGTATTTATTCATGTAACAGAGAGATTACTTTAAGACCTGAATGAATGAGGAAAAGTCATGAAAAATATCTTAGGGGAGAGCATGCTGCCTGTTGACCTAACTAGTGTATTCATGAAAGGAATTTATGAAAAGGACTCTGAATAGAAAAATGTGTTTCTTCTGATTTCTCCATTTATTTGCAGTTGTGGTGCTGTCTTCCTCCTTTGAATTACAATTTTTGACTCTGTATGTATCATCCTCGCTACTAATGCTTTTAAGCAAGTGCAGGTGAAATACTCAGACACTTTGATGCCAATGCTGGTGCTTGGATTTTCTAGTGGAATATGTCGACAATAGTAGAAACTGTATGTTGAAAAAAAAAATGTGCTGATAGGAAAAAAAAAAAACAGATGATTCATTAATAAAGGAAATGTTTTTGTTCTTAGAACAAGTTGATTGATGGGCAACATGTGGCCTGTTGTATTAGTTTTCTGGCAATTTGAATGAGCTATACACACCAAAAAAAGGCTTTTAAGGGTGTGCTTAAGCGAGATAAGAAGTCATAGATGTTTTGCTTTTGCTTTTGTGGTGTTAGGAATCAAATGCAGGCCCTCACACCTGCTAGGCAACCACACCCCCAGTGTGGGAAGGCGTTCTGTGGAGAGCCCAACTGGGCCTCAAATGAGACTCCAGTGACTGGCTTCCTCATGTGTGGCATTCAGTGTGTGAGCAGATCTGGGCTGCACCCCTAGCCTCAGCTGTGTAATAGGAGAGAAGGCGAATCCAGCTAGCCCTCCTGGGTGCCCTCAGTGATGACCGCCACAGTCATGTACACTAAGGGTCTCAGAATGGGGTACAGATCGTGTCTTAATCCTTGCATGTAGTTGCATGGAATTTTAAAATATTTCGTATTCAGCAAGTCAAAAACTGAAGGGATCCCTAGAGAACAATTTTGCTGAATGTCTAGTCTTGGAACATAACTAACTGTAAAATTCTTAATGACTTTTATAGAGTTCAGTCAAGTTGTCAGAATTAGGTGCTTTCACTGTAAATCATTTCAGATTCTTTGTAGTGGTCAGAAATAAAGACAGGAATTGTTTTAAATAACAGAAAACAAGGCTCATTTCCTCTCCAAGCTTCTTTCTCGAGGTGTTTCACTAGGCAGCATGTAGAATGCACTAGTTGTTGAAAGCTTTGTGGAGCTTGTTGTTGGAAATCGTGTTGATTATCCGCAGGAACATAATGAGATATCAGAATTTTATAAAATTAGCATTATATATTTGGATTTTAAGATTTTATGTAGTTAACTTGTAAATATTATGTGTTTTCCATATTTTTGCTGGAAAATAATTTGTAGTGGTTCTTACCCGGAGATCATATGATTTAAAAAGGTTAGAAACCAATTTTTGATTGAATGTATAAAGCTAACTTTTTTAAAAAATTAAGTGTGTGGATTCCTATGATTTGGGGTCATAAATGAAAAGCACCCACTGAAGTAGGCAAGTCAGATGACTCTCCTTTTAAATAAGTTCATTCACGTTAAGAATTTAGGTTCTTAGTATAGACTTCATAGTTTCCTTCAGAAGAAACATTTTTTTCTTTTCCGTGTTTTCTTCCAAAGAAAAGATAACGTATATATGCAAATATTTATTATTAGAGCCACACTCATTAACTTTACTGGCCCTGCCTTATGATATAGTAAAAGAATTATATAGCCTATTTCCTAAATATAAATATCCTAAATAAATATGTATATTTGATGCAAAGTAAGACATATTATCGTTTCATAAATAACCAACTCAGAAGTTCTTCAAATTGACTGGCATTTCTTTTTCAGTTAGATTTATTGTTCAACATAGTCTATTGTCCAAATTTGTTCTTGTTGTTTTTGTTTTTACTGAGCAGTATCTAAAATTGGACTGAGATGTCTGGTGTGGGTTAGGGAAGAGCTGGTTAGACTCAGCCCTCCATAAAGCATACCAGAAAACTTACAGATTTCTTTAAGATGAAATTCCATGTTGCCTTGGAGAAAAAAAAATCACAAATAGTAAACAAGGATTGTGTAATCATTTTATTTCTAAATGATAGATATATTTGTAGATATTAGCTTTGTCATCTATGACCCAATTTTTTGTGTGGTTCATAAAATTGTATTTTCTAAGAGTGTTAGTTCAGAAAGTCTTCAAGAAAGGTTATCTGGTAGGTCTCTATATAACCTGTGGGTACTCTTTCTTTCCACTGATGCGACTCCTTTGCGCTCTTAAGTCTGCGAACTTGTGGAACTGTTAAGATTAATTATATTAACTGCATGCAAAATATTTGACTGATGAGTACTAACACTCAGTTTTTGTCATTCTTTTTATTCCATATGCCATCTTTCATTCACCTCCTGTATTGTACATTTGAAATTAAATCTCATATCAATGCAATCCGCTCCATTTCCATATGCACCTTATGCCATTTGTGAAAATGCTGCGGCCCTTTTGGTTTTCCCTGGTCGTTGTACAACTGTTTGTGGCCTGGCTCTCTCGCTCTCCTGCAGACCCAGCCCTCATTCTCCCTCCTATCTCCTTCAACAAACTTACACAGGCACAAACATGGGACAACTCTAGCTACAGTGTTCCATCTGAAGGAGACAGTGACAATGGTAGGTGGCTTGTACCTCTTCTTCAATGTTCTCATTAATAAGCCAATGAATATACTGAACGTTATTTTCTCCGCAGCCAAAAATAGACTATCCTGCATGCTTGATACACAGATGAGACGCTGAGCAAGTCTGTAGACAGTGAAGTCCCTAAATTGCATGTGAATTATTTTCTCGCATTTGGCCAAATTATAGTTTAGTTATCTTGAGCATTCCTATTTGGGGCAGATTTTGCAACGTTTTCTTCTTCTTTACCTGTTCTGCTTTGGTGTTTTGGTTTGTTTGCTTACCTACAGAGGTTTGGGGTTGGCACATTTGGATTGTCTCTGCTTGCTTGCACACCTGTAGTAAATACTTTAAGAGTTTGATCCTCTGTTATCTCTGCTGTACATCTCTACCATGTGAACTATAAAGGTAATTAGAGCATACCATGGCCAATGCTATGGCACTGAAAATAATGTCAGCGTGGAGAAAGTTCTAAAAATGAACAGAAATCACTTGCCTTCTTTTTTAAAAAATATTTGCATATTTTGACTTTTGATGCCTTATGAATTTTAAGTTCAGCTGTATAATAGGTAAGAATAATAAATTGATCTAAGAGTAAAACCCACAGGAAAAAAAATTGAGGATGCCCATTATGATTACATGTACATCTTAATTTTGTGCCAGTAAATATTTAAAATAGTCCAAGGGATAAAATTAAATAACTGTTTAGATCTCTGTACCATATGTATCTGAATCTCCACTCTAGGTTAACCCTAGTTCAGATCGTAAACATTCTACTTCAGAATACAAAGTGGTAGCAGTACTGTTAAATGAAACTCTTATTTCCGAGGAAGCAAGTGAATGCGAGATATAACCATGATGCAGACACAGTAGGACGAGACATCTTCTGATTCCACAGCATCATGAAGCAAAAGCCCCCTCATGTGCCATCCAGCTGTCAATGCTGGAAATTGAAGAGGAGGAAATGAAATTTGATACACTATTTCTTCACTTAAACATAAAAAGGAAACTTTTGTTGTTTCAGAAAGAGTGCTATTTATGGATATGAAGTTGTCTAAAGGAAGTAAGGTATGAAGGATTTACGTGTGATTTAGAGTTTCTTCAGGAGAGATACTTGAGACCAGAGCACTTTCTTTAAACAGGCAGACTTGCGCTTCTGAGTTTCTGTTCCATCGATCCGCTGTCTAGACCCACAGAGCTGAGGGGAGCTGTGTGCTCACCGAGTGCTCCTAACTCGTGAATCTCTCTTCTCATCCCGTCCTCAGATATTTACTGAGATCTCTATGTGCAGTGTACTAAGCCAGGCCGCCGTCTTTGTATACAAATATCTGAGATTTCCATAGCAAATAATCATCGTGACAGTCTTTCTGGAAAGAAAATAATTTCACATGTTAGTTGTATTTTTTCTATGAGTGACAATTCCCAGAATTCATACATACCTATCACACTGTTCCACACTGACAGTAGATTTATTTTCAATATTCATCTTGCCCGGTCAATCATGTCTGGTGTTTGGTAGTTGTCATTTTTATCTCTTTTTAGTTCTTCTGTAATATGCCTTAGGCAAGAGATGATTTTCTGCACAGAATATGTTCTTTACAGTAATACTGGTGTGGATGCCCAGATCTGATCTTTCATATACGTCTTTGTTCTTTTTGTGCTAAATATTGCCTTATAATGTGAATATGTATCTTAATAAACTTTTTAAATTAAAGAAGCGCTATATGTCCAAAATAATATGAGCTCGTGTTGCAGGAGGAATTCTGCCTAAGAGTGTTGCACATGCTTCCTTCTGAGTAGAAAGTTCTACTCCAAAATTGTCTTCTGGCATTCAAAGTGGATTGTCATGCCACTTTGTTTCCTTATTTTTTTCCATTACCCAGTATCTGCAGCCCTCTCAAGTTTTGCAAATAAGGGACATCTTATCACCAACCTAACCACTAATGTAACTTAGTTATTAATTTTGAAAAACTTGGTATTTTTATTCTACCTTGTTCACTGCCTCCCTTCATAGACAAATTCTCCTTTAATTTCACTTCCTGCTGGTGTTTTATTTCAAATCTTATCTCATTTTGAATTCACCATTTTCGCTATTTTTATTCTTTAAAGAGCCACTTTAAAACAGCAAACAAATCAGGAGAGCTTTGGGAATTTGGGTCCCCTCCGTTGCCTAAGTTCTGCTGCCCTGCCTCTGACAACAGAGGCCAGCAGGAGTTGTCTGGAGGTCTGCCTGCCGTGGACACAGGTTTTGTCTCTGTTCTTAACCAAAACTTTAGCTCTGTCTGCCCTTCTTGTGAGTCAGTCTCCTTTTTCCCCCTTCACTTTGAAGTTGATACCTTTCCCATCTTCTTTCGAATCATTTTTGCTTTTTAATTCGCATTGAGTAGTTGGATACAAATTTAGGCTTAATGTTCAAGTTCCCACCTGAGGGGAATGAATGGACTCATGCATCTTGGCCAGCTCACAGATATTTTGCTTAATTATTTTTATCAAAATCTTGTGCTAAAGTATTAATCTTTATGTTTCAAAACTGAGGAAACAGGGTGTGAGAGGGTTTTGTTTTGTTTTAATCAGCTATCCACTCTGGCTTTATTGACAGTTGTCCTGACCCCAGATTCAGGTACATACTTATCTGGAATAGCACTGAGTATAAATACTGATCTTTTCTTAACTGCATTTCATGCAGCATGTGGTGCAGGTAGGTTTGAAAGCCCCTGGGTTGGGTAAAATACTCAAGCGCCTAGGGAGGAGATTTGAGCATTCCAAAACCAGAAAATGTATGTAATTGCTTTCTGGTACCAGAAGGATATGAATGGACGAGCTTCTTAAATCTTTAACTCACAGTAGCCTGAATCTAAAGCTCATGAGCTTCTCAGAGCCATCGTATTTCTGTCTGTGAACTTGTATATGTACTTTCTTTTTAAAATTTACAGTGCTTGGGATAGAGTGCCCCCCCCCCCACAAGCTAGACAAGCGCTCTTCCACAGAGCTACAGCCTCAGCTAGATCGGTGTAGCACAAACATCATACCCGTCCAGGTTCTTGTGACAAATGTATTTCCTTTTATTTTCTTTATTTATTTTGCAATAAATAAGTAAATAAACTCGGGACCTTGTGCTTGCCAGGCAGGTGCTAATGCCACTGAGCTATCTCCCTGACCTGAGAACAAACTATATTTCTTTTTCTTTCTTTCTTTCTTCTTTTTTTTTTCTGATACCAAGGATCAAACTCAGGACCTTGATGCCACTGAGCTATCTCCCCGGCCCATAAACTATATTTCAAAACTTCTATCTGTAGACCATGTACTAAATACAAAATAATAAATAGATAAACAAAACCTCCTTTATCCACAAAGAAAAAAATTAACCTTCATTTGTTTAAACTCAGATAATATGGGTTAATAATGTAAATTGATTTTTATACAAAGTACATTTCACGTAATAATCACAAGATAAAATGCATTTCAGCCATGTTTCAAAGCCATAACCTTTCTTTTCCTTTAACTAAAATATATTCTTAGAACCGTTAGAGAAGTTGCTGTACACATCCTTCAGTACCTAGTGAGTGTTTATTAGGTGCCAGGAATGATGCTCCTAATGGATATGGCTCTGAACACGATAGACATGATCTCTGTTCTCTTTGGAGTCTGCTGGACTCAGACCTGGCGTCTAAGGTTAGGAGCCTTCTTATGAGAGGAGAAATTCAGATCACCAAGTATCAGCTAAGTTCTGCAAAGGTGGCCTTTAAGTAGTCTGATCTTGGAGTGAGTTTTGAATTTCCCTTTTTCATTAGCAGATTCATGCTGCCCAGCTCATCTATTTGTTGAACAAGACAGAGAATACAAACGGGAGATGAACATATGCTTTTATGGCTTTACAGGGGAGAAAAATGGATTTACACTGTAGTAGAAAAAGCGATGGTGCTATGAGACCCAGACAAAGCTTTGTATGTTCACAGGTGAGAGGAATAAAGACAGTGTGAGAGACGGAAGAGCCAGCGGAGTTTGACCTGAGCCTGCCAGGCTGGCTCTGATATGCTCTACATGAGTATGTCACTCCTTCAGGGCTCTGCGTAGAAATGTGTGTCTTCTGCTAACCAAACTGCATATCGGAGCAAATTGTTTTGATTTGTTTTTTTTTTAGTTTTTATTTTTTGTTCTGAATTTTAAGTGCTTTCAATTTGCTTTATAAAAATCCGTTGAAAAGGGCTTCCCCCTGCCCACCACTGGCCCCCCTTTTGGGTGTGCACACCGCCACACTGCCCTCTTGTCCCTTATTTTCCTGTTTACACTGAAGCAGTCGGAGCAGCGTGTGATATGAAGAGCAGGTGCTAGCAACAGGGCTGCCTTTAAATACTGTCCTGTAGCCTCAAACTGAACTTTTATTTCCCTGAATTAAATAAGGGAGCTCTTAAAATATACAGTAGTGATACTGAATTAACAAAAAACAGAGTGATTTTTCCATGAGTTTCCTGAGGTTATAGCCCAGATCAGCCACTGGACTTATTATTAAATATTCCTTGAAATTTTAAAAAGTACAAGGCATGTAATTATAGCTATCTTAATACTCTAAGTAAATTTGTCATAACAAAACCATCAGAAAAGCTGACAGATTTATTATGAGTCTAAGGAGATTTTTGTTAGTGCTCATATATTCAGTGGAAATTAATATGCAGAAAACTAGTAGTCCTGAAGTCCTGATTTCTAGTAATTTCATGTACATTTGAAGCCTTTGTGTTGAAAACTACTGTTCAGATATTTTTAAACATTTTGGATTGCATTACATTCCAGGAGAAAGTGTTCACACATACATGTTGTGTTTTTAGGATGCACAGGAATGTAAACTAAAAAGTATCGGGGGAAGTTGAAGCCAAGACACCAGGACACTACCCTGAGCTTCCTCAAGGGGTCCCACGCAGCAAATGTGCTTCAGTTGTGCGCTGGAAAACAGCTCCCACTTCATTGAACTTCCCGATAGTTACATATTCAGAGTGAAAACTGCCAATAAAAACATATTGAAAATATCAACTATGCTGTATTAGATAAAAATACTCCAGAGAAAGATAAGGGGAAATAAAACCTCCAAAGAGAACACAGTGTATTTCAGTGGTGTTGGGGGCGCCCCCTGCTGTTGCATGTGTGTGCTACCCAACTCTGTCCGCATCCCTTGAAATTTTTGGTAAACACCGTTGAATTGTTTTCCTTAGGAGGTACAGATTATTTCTAGATTTTACATTTTAATGCATTTATCTTTGAACTGCTGTGCTTCAAGAGGTAGACTTGTTTCGCTCGAGGTGTCTTAAAGGCAAAGCGAATGGATTCTCAGGTTTCTTCCACGCATCCTACTTGTCAGACTGTCTCCACTTGCCTGGGCTCTGTGGACTCCCCATCGCTCCTGGCCGGGCACTGTTTCCCTCCACTGCCGACCTCTGCTCTGCCTTGGAAGCAATCAGTAGCCCTTTCTGCGAGCTTCGGCTTTGGGGGCCCAGCGAGCAGGCTTGCTCTGCCAAGATGCTTTTCGCTCTCAGCTGTCTTTGCCTGAGACTTCCTTGGGGGTGTCCAGCGAAGAAGGCCCAGCCTGCGGGTGGGCTGCTCTGGAGATTCCAGAAGGCAGAGGCCATGTGCATACTACCAGGCACACCACTAACTGAGAACCAAGGGTATGTCAGCCTCCCCATATTCCCTAGAAATTCACAGCACTGATTCAAAAATCCGAGAACCAGTTCAGGAAGAAAATCCCAAGGGACAGATAGAGATTTAAATAATATAGCTGTTGAACACAGGATATTTAATTAAATGGAGTGGACTCAAGCTGTTCATTTAAGATACTATACTTGTAGGCCATATTTAATTTTTTTAAGAAACTAATATTAAATTTCTAAAATGACCCATAGGAAGATCTTTATCAGGATAGAATAAAAGTTGCATACTCTTCTTGGCCACCACTGTTCTAATTATAGTGATGGGAACTACTGTGATTACAATTTGCCAGGGCAACTTTCTGTGTGGTACTACTGCACTGATTTTTAACACTGGAATTCTTTGCCCAAAATTTCCTGAAGGTCTCCTTATCCTCCTCAACCTGAAGATCTGCAGGGCAGTGTGCAAGCATGACTCTTAGCTCTTCTTTGCTCCCCTTTGTATACATGGGAATTCGACAGTGTAGGATTAAAATCTCTTAAGAACAAGAAGAATCGAGTATAAATCTTCTTTTGGATTTATATCATTAAAATCAATTAAAGTAGAATTTTTTGTGTTCTTGATTGATCTTTGAAGGATGTTATCCTCCAGAAATTAGTCTTACGCTGCTGTTTGTGGAGTACTTGAGATTGGTCTAGGGCCTCTTGCACATGGGCAGAGCAAGCACTCTGAACTACATCCCACCCAAGAGAACATTTGAGGTCTTCTACTTGGTTGGATTTGCTTTGATTTGGATTACTTCTGCTGGAAATTGAATGTAAGGCCGGCCTTCATGCTGAGCTACATCAGTAACTCCCTGTGCCCCCCTCCTTTTTTTTTTTTTTTTTTTTTTTTTTTTTTTTTTTTTTTTTTTTTTTTGACAGGGCCACACTATTTCCTTAAGTTGCCTGGGCTGGCCTTGAACTTTCAGTCCTCCTGCCTCAGCCTCCCAGAGCACTGGGATTAGAGGAACATGCTTTCATTCCCTCAAGAGGAAGCATTGTCATTAGTTACTGTTCTGAGAGGTTATAACTTTAAGGACCTAAAGCTGGTGGTGATTTCTGAAATTACCTCTAATCCCAGCCAGCTTCTGGGAAGTAGTCTGTGTAATTTCTAAAGAGTGGCTTCTTGGCTACCTGGTAACTGACACGATAAAAGGTAGTAATTTTTTACTCCTCACTCAAATATTTAATCCTCTGTATCATCACTTAGCTTTTACTCAGGCTTACAAAAATGTTATGCTTACAAAAACATTACCCTACACTTATTTTTAACATGCAAAACAATTCTGAGATCTTCTTGAGGTCAATGATCTGAATTTAATGAAGGAACGTGAATGTAAATTAACACTTAGCATAAAGACAGTGGAAAAGCACGAGAAGCAAAGCATCTGTCCAAGATGTGGCCTGTGATGGTCTCCACAGTGCCATAGACATGTTTCTGGGTTCAGGTTATTGCCCAATAAACACAGCTTCTTGGTTTACATCACCCAATATAATTTAAAATATAATCTCCTTTAGAATATTTGAGTCAAGCTTTCCTTGAATTTCTTTGCTTTGTGAGTGGTAAATAAATTATTTGGGATGAATAGAGAGATTATTTGTTTAATGTAGATAGGAACGGCCCTGTATGCTAGGCAGTCTGTGCAAGGCCCAACCTAAAGGATTTTCTTTCCTTTCTGTTACAGTGTTTCTAAGACCTCAAAGAAACCTAGAATCTATAGACCCACAATTCACTATTCGAAGAAAAATGGAACAGTTACGAGAAGAAAAAGAGCTGGTGGAACAACTCCGTGAGGTAATCAAAAATATTTATAACTCAATAATAACTTTCAGAATGGAAGCAACATTTTCTATTAAAAAAAATAGACTTTGAAGGCCAGCAAGATATCTCAGTGGACTAAAGCGCCTGCTTAGGTAAGCTTAGGCAAAGCACAGGGACTGGGGTTTGATCTCCCAACCACATTCCACACCAGTCCCACCCCCAGAGCAGTCTAAGCCAGCCAGAGTCTGGGCATGGTGGCATAAACCTATGATCCCAGCGCTGGGGTGGCTGAAAGCAGGAGGATCACTGTGAGTCTGAGCTGCAGAGTAAGACCCTGTCACCTATCAAATGCATTTTAAAAAATAGACTTTGTAACATTGCATAATTGTCAGTTTCAAACCTAGTTAGGTTATTTACTGATTGACCCTGGGAAAGTCCCCTGATCATCCTGCATTTCAGTTTCTTGGTGTACTGAAAACATAGTTCAAATTTGCCTTGGTGGGGTCTTGTGAAAAATGCTAGAGGCTATAAGTAGAAATAATACGTATGTATAAGTACTGACTTTATTTCAATTCTGGTGTACTTTAAACAATACACTGTCATTTATTTGCTTAATAATTGTATTTCACTAATTTAAATATGTTTATAGTGTCCTCACTTTGTAGCCCATGGTGGCCAGGGCTGTCATGTTAATCACCTCACAGCTTGGCTATTTGAGTTCCTCCGAGGATGGGGGTCTGATCATAGGTGCTGTTGACCACGTTATGCACGGTAGTGGCAGAGACTAGGAGGGTCTAGTTCTTGGTTGCGCATTTTAGTTCCTGGTGGACACTCTCTAGGGATCTGTGATTGTGTGCCGTCGCCATCTTTTTGTCTAGTTAAGAAGTTTATACCTGAAAGGTAGAATACCACGGAGGACCATTATCAAAGAGGAAGACATTGGCATTTGTAACAAAAGGCAGCACATGATGAATTATCACTTCAGTTCTTGCTGTTCAGAGCAAAGTCCTGCAGCTACAACTCAGAAGGGGATAAAGAAAGCCTCTTCTCTAAGCCTCCTTTCACCCCTCTCTTCCAAGTGTTACTCTGGGTAGTGTGCAAGGTGAAAACAAAAAAGGCCCTTGCTGTTAGGAAGCAGATAGACTATTGAAGATAATAAATACGAAAAAAATGTAAAAAGGAGATCCACCTTATCAAGGTATAATGCACCTGAGGATGCCAAGAGGATTTAAATGTGCTGTAAACTTGGAGGATAAGCTTTTTGGGATTATGAAAATAATATTAAAGTTAAGGTAGGTCCCTAAAAGAGTGGCCTCTCAATTTTACCTTAAACCTAAGTCATGCTACTCATTTATGCTTTAGTTTAGTGACATAGAACTAGAAAATGAAGGCATGCCTAAGAATTAGGTGTCCATACACAGGGCAGTTCTGAAAGAGATTTATATATCCTGTTATATACACTGTTTTTCAAGTTTTTATTTATTGCAAATCACCAGATTAAGCTATCTATTCTTAGGTGATTATATAGTGAAGAAGCTTCTGTTGCAAACCAGGTTTTCTTCAAGGTTCTAAAATTGACTTCTGTGCTTCTTGTTGTAAGAAGACTGACTAGGCGTGTTTCCTACTCCTCCCCTCAGACCTTATGCAGTATATATAAGATCAACATTCAAACACTGAAAAGACAGAGACGGCTCAGACTTGAGGGACAGTGCGGTAGTGAGCTCCATGACCTTTCTTGTCCTTGGATAGCTCGGACGTGGAGCTGAAGGAACTGGAAATACTAATGGGCTCAGACTTTTTTTCAAAAAGAGAAAGCCTTAACAAAGCCTGCTTCCTCTAGCCAGACAACCAGGAAGCAGACAATCTGTCAAGATGGAAAATGTTTAGACAGTAAATGCCCTGCTGCAGCTGAACACCCAAGAAAAAACTGCTGGTCCTGTCCTGTCCACTCCAGCAAAGGCCAGACTTGTGCTCCACAGGGATGACATCAGACAAGGCAAAGGGGGAGCTAGCATCTCGTCCTCACACTGGTCAGGGACCGTCCACTTCCAGTGTCAGTGAGGCCACCTTGAGAACCTGAATCTTCACCTCTCTGCAGCTGGAAGAAAATACACACTTACTCCAAGGCCCTGGCCACCTGAGTCCAGGAGGAAAGCCTAGACTTCTGCATTAATCTGGCAGTATCTAGGTGGAATTCTCCCTTCGCTGCCAAGGTGGCATCAAAAATATAAAAAACTAAATGAAACAGGCTTAAGCAGGCTCCAGATCCTTCCCACATAGCACAAAAGATGTTCAGGGTTCAATAGAAAATCATTCACCACATCTAGAACCAGGACAACTGCAAGCCAGATGAAAACTGACAAATCACAGATGGCTATCCTGACATAGCAGAGAAGTTACAAATTACTAACAAAGGGGTTAAAGGAGCCAGGATAAAATAATCATCGGGCAGTGACAAACATGGCTGCAAGAAAGGAAAAGTTAGAACAACTCAGCAGAGAACTAGTGCATCTTAGCAAGGAAACAGAAGAGTAGAAATTAAAAGGAAGAGACAAATAGAAATTTAGAACTGAAAAATATGTTATCCAGAATAAAAAGACTGGTGGTTGGGCTCCAGAGCTGTAGAGAAAAGGAAAAGTAAAGAACTGGAATGGAGGGGGCAAAGGCAATGAAGAGAAATGACCTAATTTGAATAGCAGAGAGAGAACAGATTGAAAATCGATGAACAGGCCTCGGGGAATGATGGGAGTGAACAAAAGATCGAAAGTCACATCCTGGGAGTTGCAGAAGGACAGGAGAAAGCGGATGGGGCAGAGAGACTAGGATGGGAGCGGTGGGTGGGACAGGAAGGGCAGCAGGAGGGATCTTTGCAGAAATGGAGATGTCGCCTACTTGACTCTTCATGTTGGTATCCTGGATCTGCAAGTGGCTGCCATTGGAGGAGCGATGCAGGGTACATGGCATCAATTTCTTGTAACTGCTCATGATCTAGAATGCCTCAAAATTAACAGCTGAATCCGTTTTAAAAGACAGTAATTGGTATCTCAACTAAAATAGAGTCAATGAGAAAAGCATCCTTTATCCCTCTTCTACCCCAAGAAGAATTCATGGTTTGTATGTCTTCATACCTACTCAGGGCCAGAAAAACTTGTACTCTAAGAGTGATTCCATCACTTTTGAATTTTGATTTTAAAATTTTAGATACAGTGAAATTTGGCTCTGTACAGAGATTTGGTATATTGTATGAAAAATCTGAAATAAAATCAGTGTTTTCTGAGCATCCTTACTCTTGTCCCCAAAGTGAAATTGGTGGCTCAGTTCTTACGCAGCTTGGACTTACAGTAATCCTCTTGTCTCAGCCTCCCTAGCACTGGGCTTATAGGTGTGCACTACCATGCCCAGTTTCAGTGGTGGCTGTGGCTCAGTTCCTCGTGACTGTCTTAACTGTCCTCAGCAGCTGGCTTTCTTGTTTCCCCCACAGAGCATCGAGATGAGACTGAAGGTCACGCTTCACGAAGACTTGGGCGCGGCGCTCATGGACGGCGTTGTGCTCTGCCACCTGGTCAACCATATCCGCCCGCGGTCTGTTGCAAGCATCCATGTGCCCTCCCCGGCGGTTGTAAGTAACACTCTTCAAAGGGACATGGATGCTGACCTGAACCAGACTCTTTTTAGACAGTGTGGTTGGTTAAGAATGCCAGTGTAGAGACTGGGCGTGGTGGCACATGCCTGTAATCCCAGCACTTGGGAGGCTGTAAACAGGAGGAGCACAAGTCTGATCTACATAGTGAGAACCTGTAGACCCTGTCTTAAATAAAAAATTAAAAAAAAATACAGTTTAAGTGCTGGGGAGATAGCTCAGTAGAATAAGCACTTGCCTGGCAAGCTCAGGGTCCTGAGTTCAATCCCTGTTACTGCAAAAAAAAAAAAAAAATAAATGAATAAAGAATGCCAGTGTAAATTGGCTCCCAGCTCCAATCCTTTCCTTTGATACCCACACAACCAAAAGAACACCATGACTGAATGAACCAACATTTTTACTAAAAAGGCAGAATATTTTAGTAAATATGTAAATGGAAGAAATTAGCTTTATTTGAGATAATCACGTTTAAAGCAATTACTCCCATTACTGCTAACTTTAGGAATATAAAGTTAGAACATGTAGAAACGTAAAGGTTCTTTTCTCCCACAAGTTTATTTAAACAGTGAGAAGTCTTTGCAGAGCACTCCTTTTGGTTGTCAGCTTCCTTCACCATGGGATCTCCTTCCTTTATTGTCAGTGGGGATTTTAGGATATTCCTATACAGATGTGCAGTCCATGGAAAAGATGACTGGTGTATTAAGCCAGAGGTCAAGTCCTGAATTAGACGCCATACAGTGGAGAAGGAATGGGATGCCATAGATGTCCCCAAAGCTCTCATCCTCCCTCTAGGGGTGACCGACCCCACCTGGGAATCCTGGCGCTGCACGCCACAGGGCATGGCTCAGGCTGGAGAGAGCTCGGGAGTCATTCTGTGGTCGTTTGGCTCCCAGGGAAGGAACTGGGAAGGAGCTTGTCTTTGCAGCCTCCACAGAAACAGAAAAATAACTTCTACTCAGCTTTTGCTATGTTGGGAGAAGCAGACTTTAGGGGCTAAGAATATAAGGTCTGTATTAAATCCTTGATCTACTTCTAAAAGCCATATGACTTTGGGGCAAAGTACACAGCGTGTCTTTAATTTGTTCTCTATAATGGCCATGTTCTTTTTCTTTTCTTTTTTTAATTAATTTTATTGAGAAACAAGTAGCAATGAGACAGTTTCAAAACAGTTTCAATAGTAGTTATTCATAGTACAAGATGCAGGTATTCACATGAATATGAGCCATTCATGTCATTAGTGTTTATACAGAGCACATTTTCAAAATTCAGAACCTCTAATCGTAAGGACCTGTATAGAGTTCAGAGTGTAGTGCTGTATCTCTGAATGGTAAGCAAAAGGTGCTGAGGCACCCTCTTCCCCCAGAAGGCCTCATTATGGTAGTATTTATCTTATTTTGTTTTCTCTCGAAGTAGTAATATTATCTGATGATCCCATTTCAACAGTTTCCTTTCTGTAGTGTTGTTTTTCCTTTTAAAAGTTTGACTTTCTTTTTCCCTCAGTGACATACAGAAAAAAAAAAAAAAAGCACACTTTGGCACCACTGGTACCAATTTCAAATCAGCCTCCAGCAGCCTTCATGTGGTATAGTAAATTCTACCCTGTGATCCAATATGAAACTTTCCAGAACCTATTAAAGTGAAGTTCAAACTACTGTAAAGTTGCCTGAACTGCATGTGAAATTCTCATTTAATTCTTATTTCCCAAATTCTGTGGATTCCCCAGCCTCCTGCTGGAATGAACACCTGTCACTGCACAAGAGCTATCACTTTCCAACGTGTTAGAGCGCACGGTCACTCATGAACCTATATGCTTTATATATTTTATTAATTTTTCAGGAAAAAATGCTATATTAGTTTAGAAATTGTTTTTTTTATCCTTTTAATTTTTTTTTTAGTTGAAAAAAATAATGTGAAATACTACCTAGCTGGGATAAAAGAGAAGAAAAAAATAAGTTGTCCCTTTATCTTACTTTCAAAGACACTTATTATAAACTTTTTATTGTCTCTACTAGTAAGGTTTTCTTATCTTTAAATTGGAGCTTTTTTATTTTTCCTTTGGATACAGCATCTCACTACGAAGCTCGGACTTCTAGTGATCCTCCTGTCTCAGCCTCCCCCAGTACTGGGATTACAAGCATACACTACCGTGCCTACTTTCAGTGGCTGACACGGTGTGCCTGGGGTTACAGGGCTGGTGGTACCAGGGATTGAACTCAGGTCTTTGCACTTGCCAGGAAGGCACTTAGACCACTGAGCTCTCTCCCCAGCCCGTGGAGCTTATGTTTACCATTTAGTAGTATTTAAAAGTTGTTATTAAAACCTAATTACTACCCCTGCCATTAAAATTCTTTCTAAATATCTGTTTTAATAGCTATAACATACTTTACACTATTATAGTTTTCCTTTTTAGAAGTGCAATTTGTTTGAGTGTCCACTTACCAAAAGTCCTTTGTCTTGAAGCTGTTTTTGGTGGCCCACCCCTGCCGTAGCCTGTGTCCTGTCACTGGTCTGTGCCAGGAACTCCTGGCGCCAGCCTGGCGTAGGCAGCTCTTCCCGGACAGCTGCCGCTGACCTTGCCCCCCGCATGTCAGCCCTGCCGCACTGCTAGCGCCCAGTTTCCTCTCCTTCAGTTTTTTCAGGCAGCAAACTATCTTGGACTCCTTAGAACTCGGTCTTTTTGTGGTTTGTATTTTCCTTTCTGGCAACCCCATCACAGCTGAGAACTGTGTAGTTTCTTTTAGCTTGTTGACAATCAACTGTGCAAAAGCGAAGTGATCTAAGAATTGTGTCTTTTGATTGCACAGTGGTGTATTTAGTACCAAGAACAGGGTCTGATAATAAATAGTTTGTGTTATCAACAATAGGTGAAAGTGTCTTTCCGATTATTATTCCCAGGATTAAGCATTCTAATATTTCATTCCTGAAGGTAATATTGTGCTTTCTTTTATCCTAGCTGAGAAAATACAGTTGTGAACAGAATCAGTGTTATTGCCCATGTTAAGAGGCTGTTCCTTAGAAAAATGAGTTTCTGCAGTCTGAGAACTTGATAAGCAAAACATTTACAGCTCAGTTGGCAAAATGTTTATTCTTTGACCAATGTTGACAATTCTTTAACTAATATTTGACAGTTAAATATTGCAGCTGTTTCAAATACTTTTCCACTTAACCTAGGCAGCAGTCTCAGGATAGGCTCTCCCTCAGCTGCAGGGATGGGAATCGTTGGTCCGTAGGCTGAAGCACAGTGTGCCTTGCTTGTTCTGGGCTGACCCTGAGTATTTTCAGTAACACAAAGCACCACTGGAATGTCACAGCAGACCTTCTGAAAGTATAAGTACTTGACAGAATACTATGGGCCCAAAGGATCTGAGACAAGCTGAACTTGCAGGTGATGAAATGTCTTTTAGTGCCATCTGCCCCGTGTGCAACCTACTGTTGTTATTCCCATGTCCCTTCGTCCTGTGCCTTCCTCCTGTTTTCATGGGTAGGTATCCCATGCTGTGGCATGGTAGGGGATGGCAGAACCCCCAGGCAGTGCTCACCTCGTCTGGATGCAGCTCAGGATGAGGGGCCCAGCCTCCCCGAGTCAAGACAGAAAATACCAGTTTAGCCTCCAAACTGAGTTGTTCCACATGGCAATAGGCTTCTTTTCTTTTATAATTTTGTAACTTGCAAATAAATGCTGTGAAAGTTTAGGGTTTAATGTTGATTGGTTTATGCCCTCATAAGATGAAATTAGAGGCACTGCACTCTCACTGTTAACAGGATAAAGTCAGTGTTTAAAAAAACAGCCTCTGGGCTAGACTGTTGGTATCCATCATGGTTCTTGCTTTCCTTTCTAAGGAAACTATTCAGAGAATATTAAAATATATCAGGAAGGTGTTTCAAGTTTTGTCATGTGTTCTTGTTTAGCGATTCATCATTTCTGTATGTTTGTACTTACAGCCCAAACTTAGCATGGCTAAATGCAGAAGAAATGTGGAAAACTTTTTAGAAGCATGCCGAAAACTAGGAGTACCAGAGGTAACATCACATTTAGTTCAAATAACCATTTTTTAGTAAAAATTATCTCTGTGTTTGAATCACTGAATAGATATAGCCCTTGGACATGTGCTTTTACTCTTACCCTTTCTCAGAGACTAATCTTGAAGGTTAAATTGTTCTAGCACAGTGAAAGCAGAATCACTGCACATTACATTCATTTCTAAGAGCAAAGGGAAAATACTTTAAGGTTTTGAAATCTGTCATTGCACCCTTGGAAACAGATGAATTAGCTAGATTAATTAGATTCAGTAGCGTCTTTTGGAACAGAAAGCCACGAGGCTGGGAGAGCAAGTTCCATAGAGCAGCACCTTGGAACTCATGCGCTCCTCACTCCGAACTCTTAACCGGAGACCTACAGTTGCCTCCTGAGAGCTGATTTGCTTTCACTTCAGCTGCACGTTGAGTATGTGAATCAAATTGCATACTACACGGCATCCTAAAATTGCTATCACTGATAGTCATGTCATGTGTTGCTTGCTCGTTTATTAATATTTACCTTTCCTCTTTCGGTCACTGTGGGCAGCTGGCGCTGGTCTGCAGCTGGCCCAGCTCTGTGTCTTCTTCCTTCTTCCCTGTCCTGCACTCAGTCCCAGCGTTGCCCTCAGGCAAATGGTTGATTCAAGGGCTTTTAAAGACTTTGCTATTAATAACATGAGTAATTTTTCAGGGGCACATGAGGTATTTTGTTCAGAATTTGAGGGTGTTAGGTAAGTTGAGAAGTTCCTCAACATTGTGATAAACAGAAAGAGATAAAAATTATATTTGTGACTTTTTGTCATTCCTAATGCCCCCGGGAAAAGTAACTTAATCCAGCTTAATCGATTGTGAAATAACTTTTTGAGTATGTGAAAGAAACACATTTCAGTATAATTTTATTCAGCAGTAGGAGCTATTAAAAGTTGTAAAAGTTATTAAAAGTTTTCTTCCCTCTCATCTTTTCTTCTCCACTTTTTTTTTTGAGTGGATTGGTGATAGGATGCTAATGTTTGAGGAAAAGAATGTTTCTAAAGCATCCTTATTGCAGAGCTGTATCAATAAATTAATTTTTTAAAGCATAGTTTCTATGTGATAGATTAAATGTGTGAGCCAGTCCTCTTTCAATAGTCTTAATCTGTGTGTATTGTATGTGTACATTTTAATATTGTATATACATTCTTGGCTTCAAGTATTTGTGAAAATACTTATCTTTTCTAATGAGTTATTTCTGTCATAATAAGTAATTTTAATATGTGAGCTTTTCACTTATTAATTTCGATTATAAGTAATTTTTCACATGTGAATCCAAACTCTCATTCTAAGTTTTGGATGTTAAAGTATTTGTGTGTCTTCTGAAAAGTACTGATGAGTTACAATTTAAGCCCATGGGGGCTGGCAAGATAGCTCAGTGGACTAAGCGCCTGCTTAGGCAACTGCTGGAACGGGGTTTGATCCCTGGCACCACATGTGTGATAGCCCCACCCTCCAGGCACACCTAGACTGGGTGTGGTGAGCATGCCTGTAATCCCAGTGCTGAGGGGGAGCCGAAAACAGGAGGATGACTACAAGTCTGAGCTGCATAGTGAGATCCTATACCGAATGCATTAAAAAAAAAAAAAATTAAGCCCATGATTGTCTTAAGCTCAATGTTTTTTGGCGTTTAGTGATACAAAATGAGACTTACTATGAGAAAAGGTAGTAAATACAATATCCTTTTTAAATTAAAAAGAAAATTATTTTTTTCAAATGCAGAGCCAACTATTATCATAATTTCTGAATTATGCCAGCATAATATCTCTCACAGTTATAGACAACTAATAATTCCTAAGAAGGTTGAAATAGAAGAAGTGGATGTTCTTTTTTGCCAGTGATCCAGTTAACTAGTACGAAATATGTCATATGTCACTTGGGATATTTTTGCAAGTATTTTAAGGTTTTAGATGATTTTCAAGTCTTCAGTTGTGTATGTGCAAATCTACACAAATTTGTAGATTTGTATATGTATGTTTAATTGCATCCTGATAGTGCAACAGCAGTTTACAGGTATCTATAGTTACTTTAAGGACAACGTTGCCAGAAATAGTCTGTGTGTAGTTGAAATTCTTGAGTGAGAACATTAATGTAAAAAGAAATATTCTAGTGGAAAACCATGAGCTCCTATTTGGAAAGCAATATAAATCCTTCTGTTTATTCTAGGCAGCATGTTTTTACTTCTTATGCATGTGAAAAGGTTTCCATCGAGACTGTGATGCAAAATTGTGGGATCAGATGACCTCTTTCATCTGAGCTATGGGTACTTCTTTCACTACAGATGGCCAATGTTTCAGTGTACATGTGACCTGGTACAACCAATGATTTACACTAGAAAAGATAATTGCATCACAAAAGAGTACTTGCTGAGATTCTCCATTTACAGTTAGATATTATAAAAGTCTGATACTAAAGATATAAAGAATATTTGCACCATTATTTTTCCTAGTTCTGCAAACTTAGTATTTAGGTAATGTTTACTGATTTCCCACAAATCAGAATTATTATCTCTAATTTATAAGCTTTTTCTGCTTTATTTATCCATAACTTACCTATACTTACACACAAGCCATGGGTATGTTCAGTCCTATATTTTTTTAGTTCTATATTTTTTAATCTAAGTATTTAGTTTACATCATCCTGTAATAGAATCATCATTTGAAACTACAAACTCAAGTCAGGGTAAGCTGTTTACGTATCAGGCATATATAGGTGGAATACAGCAACTGGAAAGATGTAGTTGAATGATTGCACATTAAGTCTTATGATGGTATGGAAACAATTTTAAAATTGTTCTGATTATTATAGTTTACTATATATTTTCTTTGGAAGTGCCCATGACCAGCATCCCAGATATTATCCCCAGGGTTGACCAAGGTCCATGAAGCATTTATGTGTGATTCGGCAGTGAGAGCCCCAGCACCAGACTGTGGTCTGTCGAGCACTGAGAACTGTGTCCGTGCAGAATGTGGCAGGGTTGAACAACAATGCATTGAATAAATAAAGGGTTGAGGGTTGCGGGTGAGACTATCCTTCACTGGAATATAAAACCCTTTTTTTGTAGGTAGGTAGGTAGGTAGGTAGGTAGGTAGGTAGGTAGGTAAAAATGGCTTTAGAGTGGCTTACCCATAAATGTGGTTCTTCAGCGGGCTGCATTTAGCCCTGTGGGCAGGGTGAGGCCCCATCCACAACTGTGGTGTTGGTGCTAGGTGTTCCGACTGCAGCTGACTTTGGTTTCTGTGCCTGCTTCCATGTGGACTCGAAGACAGGCCTTTGTGAGCTTCTGAATCCTTCAGGTTAGCTTCTTTGTGTCACCTGAGAATTGAGTCTAGATAGGCCTCGGAATGATATTGCCATTTATGGCTGTAGAAAATTAGGTATTTATTTGGTTTACTAGGGAATTTTTTCTACTGAATTTCAGTTAAGCAGCCTTAATCTCAGACTTCTTTAAGGATCAAGGACCTACTTCAGACTTGCCTTCTTTATGGGAGGAGGAACTCAGAGTTGAAATGTGCTTTGTTTTGTAGCAGCCCAGCCCTTCACCTCCAGAAAAAAAGCAGATTAAGGGCAGGGAGTTGTAGTGAGTGATGACACCCAGGCAGTTTCTGGCCACTTGCTGTCATCTGGACAGCCCAGTGCCCTGTCAGGAGTATAGAAGGCTGCAGGTTTTCACCCATGTCCAGAAGGACTGATCACATGAAGTCCCTCACTTTCTGTACCTGAAGTTAATGTCCTGCAGTCCCTTCAGATACTAATAAGATTGCATTGATATCTGAGGAATTATGGCTGAGTTTGTCTTTGCAGTACTTTTGATAGTTGTCGGTTTTGTTCTTTATATTGAGAGTGTCTATTTAAAATACTAATGAATTTCTACTATACACCTGTTGTGAAGATTTAGCAAATTATTCTAATAAAATTGGTAAGAATTTTTATTATTCAGAGACAGTGTAGAAACTCAAGCTATTTTGTTTCATGTTTTTCTTGAGGAGAAATGAGTTCTTTATCCTCTTCAAGCCTTATGCCTCTTTCATTGGTAGTGTATGTGTACTGGCTTAAGTGTCCTTTTGGATCTGCATGTCTGTTGGTCACCTCTGGTCGGGGCTGATGGCCTCTCATATGTGCCTAGTTAAGAGTACATCATTTTGAGAAGCGGAATCCTCAAAACATTACTAATTCTGGAGTCATGCGCTAAGTCCATAAAGTAGACAATCCGATGTCTGTCACATAGTTGCAAAGAGCCTCCCAAAACCAATTCATGATATGTACCAAGGTACTAACCTATTGACTTTTAAAATTATAATTACATTTAGCTAAGTCAAATATATCCCAACTGTCTAAACAAGACTGCTGCCTTGATAGGGTCTGCACTTAGAATTTAGATTATATGGTACCCAGAAATTCTATAGAAACTAGACCTGTTGTCAGATCTGTCTACATTTCTGCTTGTGTTCATAATAATTGGAGAAACTGAGCCATTCTTTAACAGTAATCTCAACTGCACTAGTAATAGTAGTAGTAATCTCAGTGTATATTCTAAGTAAATCACTAACTTCTGCTATTGTGCTTTGCTTCTTTACAATAAGAATCAGTGTCCTCTTTTGCCTCTGAAGGTTCTGAGTGACTTTCTCAAATGCCTTTAGTAATTACAAGTGCTCTACAAATGCATGATGAAATTTTGCCTCTTCCTGTCTTGCCTTTAAGTATGTTCCAATTTTAATTTTTAGGAAAAAAGCGAGTATGGTCTTGAAATCCCTCTCATTAAGGCTAAATTTTGGAAAGCACAAGGCCAGAAAATGCTCCATCCCTAGGAATTTCCTCAGTCTGTATCAGTGTTATTTGGGAGGCTGGATGAGATGGCCTTTGACCCTGTGATACAAGGCTGAATTAGAAAGTGGGTCAAGCGGCCACAGAGGCCCACCTTCTTTACATTAATTATGGTGGTTTGGAGTTTTGCCTACCAGCCAGGCTAAGATACTTTTGTTTCCCTTCGGAGACTGTAATTTAATGTAAACCACCACAAGCTGTGACTGTGTGCCCCAACCACTGTAGTGAAGCCCAACTTCTGTGACAGCATGGAACTGTTTACTGGATGAGAATAATGGTCTGTGTTGTCCCCTCCCCAGGAGTGTACTCATCAATAAGTATCCTGAAAACTGCAAAGATGCTCTGATCTCCCTGCTGGGGAACAGACCAAACAAGCTCCATAGGGCTCTGGGAAATATATTGAAATACTTGCTGGAGATAGGCTGGTTTGCTTTTGACATGCAAATACCATTTTTGTGAAAATCATATTTCAGCGGGTGTCTAAGTCTTTTGTCTCTTGTCTGCTTTGCTCAGATTTCATTGGCTGTGTACAGCATTGCAATAGAAAATTCTTATTGCAATGGAAACCTTTTCTCAGTCATTTTCCCATCTGTTGATCCTGGACCAGCATGTCTCCCAGTGAAATCTGGTTTATGTGTAGCCATTTTAATTCTCGGGAGAACCCTAAATGGTAGAAGCTTGGTTGCTCCTAATCACTGAGAAAATGTGGAAGAGTTGAATAGGAATACCATGGCTCATTAATTCTAGAAAATCTTTTATTAAGAGGATCTCTACCTTTATAAGTCAAATTGAATGTTTTAAATCTTCTTCAACCCACCTGATATCATACTATTCCTGCTTACTTGAGGGTATCAAGCTAACTTCAGAGAATATAAGAAAACAACCATTAACATTGAATTGTCTGTTTGTTGCTCTGTGGTCTGTGTCTGCCTAACAGGAGGCTGAAATAAAGGGGCAGTACTGCTGCAAAGTATGTACAAATATATGTTGTATGTATTTGAAAATGCTTTGCCTAATTTAAAAATAAAGGTGCATTTATGAAATCTATCACAGATATTTCCAATTCTTGTTTAATTAAGAAGCAAACACCACAACTTTTCTGACTGTCGTATCTGCTATAATCATGTGAATTTTAACTCCATAGCTTAAAATTCTGGCTCAGAAGTTCAGTGCTTCAGAAAGTTGCTTCCTGATAGCAGTAGGCTGCCACAGGTCAGCTCAGAAGACTGACCAATGAGGGTTTGCATTTAGTGGAGGAAGTAGGGGTTCAGCCTTCCTGCATGGTGACTGCCAAACTGCTGACGCTTGGAGGCCTGGTCCCCTGGCCATCCCTCTGCTCTGGTGAACATACACAATAACCCTATGTAGGGATGTACCTTAATTCTAACTGTACATCCCAGAGCTCAACTGTAGGCCTTTTTTTATTGTCTAGTTGCAAAAACATGAAATTTAATGTACCTTATGAGACATTTAAAGACATAATGAGAGCTAGTACTCTCCAGAGTTTATTAACAGTACTATAACAAAAGCAAGCCAGAGGTTTGTGTTAACTTTCAGAAGCGATCTGTACAGGACAGTGTAAAAGATGCAGTAAGAGACTACTGCGGAGAAGTGAGGATCAAAGTGTAAAATTAAGGTGTTGTTTTTTTCCTTTAGTACAGTTAAGTGCCAAGTGACCCAAGTGAAAATCTGTTTTGTGTCATCGAGGAGCACATGATACCACTTGAATATTAAAACTGTTTGAATGCCAGGAAGATGTATAATTTACAGATTTATAGAAAAAGTTGCTTCTCAACAGTTGAGATTCTAGCACAGAATTTCTTTGTCTTATTTGTGGAAGACATGTTGGGTATCCTGCTTTTCTTTTGCAATGGATTAGAAGTTTCTGATGATGGAGAGGGTTTGACCTGGTTGAACTAAGGGGGACTCCTTGCCACTTGCTAGTAACCAAAACTTTGTGCTTCTTTCCAGCTGTTCTTCCCTGTATTTTTAATCATATGCACTGTCTCTTTCTGTTCTAATGGCTGCCCTCGGAATAGGCTGACCTCTGCTCTCCGTTTGACATCCTGCACTTGGATTTTCGTCACATTCGAAAGACTGTTGACACTCTGCTGGCCCTCGGGGAGAAACCCCCACAATCAACTTCTGCCCTCCGCTCCAGGGACCTTATAGGCTTTTGTCTTGTCCATGTTCTCTTTATAGCGCTGATCTATGTCACTTACCGCTGGAATGCGCTGGCCACCTAACATCTGCATGTGCACCCGAACGCTCTGCTCTGGCACCTGGTGCATTACAGGTCCTTGCTCCATTTGAGCCTTGCCTTGCGTACTCCTGTCCCTGTCATCTCTTCAGTTCTCTCTCGAGTTTTGAAGTAAAATATTTATAAACCAGATTTTTCCAGAAGCACAAACTTTGTAGAATGCAGTTTACATTCTGTAATTTATCTTCCTCTCTGAAAAACAATGACAAAATATGCCCACACCTCATGCACTGTCCGCCAGTGACAGCAGCACTGCCGTACAGGCCCTCTTCTCTGGCCTACCAGCTTCTGTTGCCCTGGGCAAGGAAAAGAGAGCCCCAGGACAGAAGCTGGAGATTTAGCACATGGAAACCATAGAACTTAACTCTATTACTTATTTAGGGCTGGGCCTTTGAGCTTTAGAGGAGTTACCTTGCAAAGGAGGCAAGAAACTAACATGTCCCAGTATGACCTAATAAACTCTTAATGTTGACCAAATTGAAAGTATGATCTGAAGGATGACTGACTGCTCGCTGGCTATTTAGTTGGATTCTTCCTGGTCTCCTACAAAGGGAGCACTTAGGAGGACCAGGAGGGTCACTGCTGCCTGCTTCCTGAGCCCTGAGCAAATCCTCTGCCCTAGGCAGGAGCACTCCAACAAAGGAAGAGCCTTCCTGTTAGAGTGTTTCCTGGAGGAGTTGCTTGCACACCCATTTCTGTATACTCGTGCTTCTTCCTTGGTAGGCCTACCCTAAGAACCTAAGTAAAGCATTTTCCAGAAGGGATTTCTGCTTCTGAATAATGTAATGGATCATTTTGCTTTTTACTGCATCACATAATTACTTCAGGTCCAGAATGCAATGGACTGTATTCATTTTCAAGTAAAGCCATGAGTCATGGAACATTCTTGGTCCCGGGCTTCAGTTACTATGACGGGAACCAACAATATGGTTGTTCTTATTTTAGAAAAATGTACTTTCCCTAATTACTTGAAATTTCCATGTAATCTTTGATTTCCAGTGATACCAGCCAGCAAACTGCTTTATTTTTAAATTAGATTAAAATTATGTATCAGGGGCTGGAGAGATGGCTCAGTGGTCTAAAGCACCTACTTGGAACAAGCTTGGCAAAGCATAGGGACCGCGGTTCAATCCTCCAGCACCACATGCCAGCCAGCTGCGCCCCCTGGTGGGCTGAGCTGGCCACACACACATACACACACACACACACACACACACACACACACACACACAC